ACTTTTCTCATTCTTAATATAGACTATATTTAGGGTCGATATGTGTTGACTTTACTTTAAAGTGGACCTATCATGCTATATTTAAATGATATATTGTAGGGCCATACCTATATAAGGTATATTTATACGTTTCTGTTTTCAAAATACTAAACAGATCATGCATTTTAGCCATGCCTCATTTCGCTCTATGTGCTGTTTGCTGTCTACGGGTCTGATTCTGCTGACCACGCCCCACTGCAGGAGAGGGGAGACGTGCTCTGATCAGCTGCTGGGCTGTCAGAAGAGGGGGAGAAAAAGAGATCTCCGTCCTCCGTGTTTTATTATATAGAGTCGTTATTCATTTGTTTTAAAGCTCAATAAATAACAAAGAAGACCTTTGACCTTTTCGAATTTTGTCCGGAAGATTTAAACTTTAACGGACATCTTGACCGGCGAAACAAACTGAAACTGAAACTCTGCCGCACGGTCCCCTCGTTCCTTGGAAGAGGCGGAGAGGTGGGTGTTTGTCATCTGCTGGTGGAATAACCGGAGAGAATTACAGTGCTTGCCTCGACGCGGAGGGATTGCATTGCAGCGGGAGCAAACGCTTGCCTCGGGGAGGGAGAAAAAAAGCCACAGCGGAGAATAAACAGAAGGGTAACCATGGTAACTATGGGCGGGAAGTCTTCTTCGCTGCTTTTGTGGCAGACTACAGCGCCACTTACAGGCCTGGCATATGTACTACAGCGTCTCCAGCGCTTTCGAACGGCAATGGCCGTGGCTGTCTCCTCCTGATTGGTGGAGTTGGCCCAATAGCCGTAGCGCCACCGTCCTGACGTCAGGACAGTGTTCAAATCTGGATCAGTTTTTATCAGATCCGTTGCAGCCCCTTTTTTAGAGATTTGGGTATGGAGGAAAATAGAGAGGGTTGTGTTTTCTGACACTTGGTGAGTTCCCTGGAACACCGGGGACACATATTCATGTATAAAAGACGTACAAAAGTGCATTTTGCATGATAGGTCCCCTTTAAAATAAGAAGCAGCATTTTACGGCGCGCTATGCATGGGGCCGCCTTGAGGGGGTTTCCCGACATGTCGTTGCAGTAAATTAAAGGCTGTTTCATGTTGTCGTTGCTGTGGACCTTCTTAATACCTTGGAAAATGCCGTTTAATACTTTTTAATAGCCTTAATTTCCGCTAAATTGATTTATCAACTTTTAATACTTTTTAAGACCCCGCGGACACCCTGTTAAATCGGTCATTCTGATCCATGTATTTTCTGTCTAGTATCCCTTGGCTCTTCAGTTGCAAAATGCTGTAATATATTCACAAGCTCTCTTACTGTGTTTGTCTGCCGGCTGGTGCTGATTAGGACTTTTCCCCTGAAAGCAGCTGCCTGTAAGATACTTTTTATCTACCCCTCAACATTGCCATTTGTGGGTTATACACTCTGGCAGAGTGACTTTTTCCTTTTTTTCCCTTAAGTTTGGTTTAGTTTCTAACCTTATGCTCCATTAAGGAGTCTACAACAAGTCACAGTATAACATTAATTTGTTTTGCTTATGTCACAGAGAGGCACACACACAGTAGACGAGGTTAGTAAGTGACTGAGACTGTGATAGTCAAATGCATTGCTTGTTGTGTGAAAGTGAAGAAACATTTACATCCCGCTCGTAAGCCATGGCGGGATCAGCGGTGCAGTCTGGACGCGGAGAGTGTTGGTCTACTCTGCTCCGTCTGCAGCTGGGACTGCTGCGCGAGGCTGCTGTGAGACTGACCACCTGTGAGTGCTGCGGGACTGCTCACGGCAGCACCCGCTGCTTGTTGGGGACAGTGACTGCAGAACGATACCTGCTTTCTCGTCAGAGTCTCCAAAACAGCAGAAAAGTGTCCAATAACACCACAAAAAGACACTAGATTTGTTGCTAGTCACTTTTAACAAAAAAAGTCACGTAGAGGATTCGGAAAGTGGCCAGATTTAGGGAGAAAACTGCAAAGTTGGCAACACTCAGCATTACGTCACATTGGGACGTACCATAGTACATAGAGTAAGGCTGCCATCCATCACTAAGTAATACTTTACTACTTATTTGTGTGGACATTAGGTTAGGTTTGGTTAGTTTATCATTTATTTCTTAAATTGAAATATTGAATATGTTGATTTTATTTGAAAAATATTTAAATGTAAATCTGTACAAATTATACTAGCAATCCAAAAGTAAAGTGTAAATTAAATCAAGATAAAATGGCTTAAAAATCATTTGATATCATTACCTAATTTTTAGCTCTTTTTACACAAGGAATTTGTTCAATTTTAAATGTGAAAAACTCTATAAACGGTGCATAGCTCGCACATGGAAAGAACCATCAACCTGTGGACTTTCTCAATGGCTGAAAGGCAGTGGCGAGCCGTGACTTTTATACCTAGGCCCCCCCCCCCCCCCCCCCCCCTTCCCTCGAAAAAAAAGAAGAGTTATTACGTCTCAGCGTATACTTCAGCGGAATATCAAAACAGCGGCCCGGGGTGCAAAACGCATCAATGACAGCGAGCCTCTACCACACAAAACAACACCATTTATATAAACACCTATCATGCCAGGGCACCCACAGCCAAGTAACAATTACAAATGAATTACGTCGGCACGGCGGCCCACATTGAAAATGACTTAGGCCTACCTTTGATGATCAAATCACTTAAACACAAAGTCCATCCTCCTGTCCTTTTGGATGAAGCACTTGATGGCGGGGTCATGCAGCTGATCCTTTGCCACTCCAGTTTATCATTGTAACTCAATCTTGAAAATGACTCGGTTAATAATTTCGCAACGATGTCATCACTATCACTGAAATGAGCCATCATGAACGAACTTATGCTAATCATAAATCTATCGATCATAAATCTATCGATTAGATTTATGATTCGAAAATAATAAAAGTAGGGTAGACGTGTGGATATTATCCGGCTGAACAAAACGTGCATTTATCCAACAGGTTCGTTTTCCACAGACCTTATTTCGAGCTATTACATCCATGAGAAATCCCATTGCTTACTTCCGGGTTTTAGGACTGCACCACTTGCACTCACAGCGGGCGGAACTTGTCATAAAGTCCGCGAAAATAAAGCCCACCCATTTAGAGGGAAGATATGATTGGTCAATTGTACTGTCATTTGACATTACTCTCTCATTGAGTTACTATAGCTGGCCCTCTGTGAATGTACAGAGGGACCAACAAGCTCTCCCGTCTTCACAGTAACTCGCAGAGACGGCATTTAACCCTTCACATTCCAACAGAAACTGAACAGGCAGATTCGAAGGATTTATTTCTTTGGAAATGTTATTTTAAATACAATTAAATCAAGTTATTTTGGTAAAACTAATGAAAAATGTAACAAAAAAAATATATAAAAAATAATATTTAAAACAAAATGTTTTTTTTTTAATGTTTTCAAATATAATATCCTCACAGAGGGCCTAGAGGGCTCTGACGGCTCGCCACTGTCTTGATGGGTCTTATTTTGATTCAATGCAGTGGTGACGTGCTATACAAAATAAGGAGGCCTGGTAGGTCCTTCCCCTGTGAGTGAGAAGCTGATGAATAGTCAAGGTTTTATGTCCCTTAAAAAGCTAAAAGTAGCAAACTACTGTACAGCAAAATATTGCTAAAGTGATGATCATACTTTCAAACGTTTCAATTGTGGAGAAAGTCCTAATTAAAGGCTATATCATATTTAATTACAATTATCCATTAATTCTTGTGTTCATGGCTTTATGAATGCAGCTAAGATTACGCTTACTTTTTAGTTACTTTATACACTGCTTAACCCTTAGCCATTTGATTTGATTCATTATCAATAGCACAGTGTAAAAATGACATTCACAAAACGACTAAAGAAATAATTATATTCAAGAGTAAAATTGTATGTTGTAACAATGTTTTTCTCCGCTGAAAATAATGGATTCAAAATATGTAATTAAATGCTATTCGACAAACACAACTGATGCGTTGCAAACATGACTGAAGTAACAACTACTGTTAGTCCAGGGAAAATACTGTGTGTGAACCAAGGCCTAAAAATAAATAAACAGCCATTAGGATTAGTTAGGCTTCCAGCTGTCAACTGACCGCCAGCTGGCAAGTGCTGGGATATTTACATTAGTTAGCTACATCTGTAGCTATGTCTAGAGGGCCCTGACGGCTCGCCACTGCTGAAAGGGATGACTTTCTACCTTGCTCTTGAAAGGATACGTTTTTTCCTTAAAAACAAACTGGATAGGTTTTGGAAAATCTGGAAAACCTTTTACGACTTCCTGGAGCATAATGGTCTACTACAACATGATTGAGAAAATGAAGACAATATTATTTGGGCTGTGTTTCTATTTTCTTTTCTTCTTTCTTTCTTTTTCTGTTTTGTTTGTTTTGCTGATAGTACGTAAAGTCTGTCTTGTTTATTAAGTGTAATTTCTATGCACAAAAACGAAAAAAGAGATGTTTAAAAAAAAAAAATAGTGAAAAACTCAAAAGCTTTTGATTATAGGTCCCCAATAATTACTGACATTAACGTGCATAAGGGGTGATCCCCCCTCATGTCACAGTGAATTCCATGATACATGTTCTCATCGGAGTTACTTAATTATAAGATGAAAGTAAAACATTTGTTACAGTTTGTAAAGGCCTTGTTTAAATTAACTAAACAGTTTGAATGTTATCTAGGGCACATTTAAATAAAAAAAGCTGTATATTAAAATAATTGGATTTACCTATACAATGGCTCATTGTGATCATATGCATTTACACTACACTGATTTCATTATTAAATGTATTTAAAATATGTTTATTTAAGTAGCGTAAACACTGAGTGAGAAGCTTGTGTTTAACACGTGTTTGCATTGAGTGGGAAGTCAGCAGTAACGTAGCCTTGCAGTGTGTGCTCACTTTATTTGTCGTTGAATAACTCATTACGGCTGGACTCATTACATTGCAGTTGCAGACAAACAATAAGAAAATTGTTTTTTATCTCACCAATGTTGTTTATATCGCTGGGCCCTGGCACAGCTGGCTCTGCCTGCTGTCCTCTCCTGGCCTCCCTCAACCTCTCTGTCCTCCTCTCTCCTCCTGCCCCGCTCACCTCTTGGCCATCTGGCAAGAGGCTGTTATCAGGTACTGACTCAAAGGCACTTTCCTCATCTTCATCTTCATCCTGGGAGGAGAACACCGTACTACCAGAGAGTCTGTTGCTGTCCACTGACGACAGGCGGGTATGGCTACAAAAGCGGCTCCTGCCCTCGTAGCCAGAGTTGCTGTAACATGATGTGCTGTAACAGGAAGTGCTGTAGCAGGAGGTACTGTAGCAGGATGTGTCGCAGAATTCACAGTCGTTCTCACCCTGATGTCTGAGGGTGCTACCGCCAACTCTTCTTCCTCCTCCATGACTGGAATCCCCCTCTTCGCTCTCCACTGTTGTATGTCCGCCTCCTCCTCTTCCTGCATCACCTTCCAGGAGCTGGTTTAGCTCAGAAAGGCGTTCAATGGAGAGGCTGCGTGGTAAGGAGCGATGACAGCAGGGGCCGGGACACTCTGGGACCTGGATCAGGAATATTTAGACAATTAAATGGCAAAACCAAAAGCCTAAAGGGAGACCTATATGTCAATCATACTGCTATTTCTGTTGCAGTATTTGTTGTTCTTTTCTTAAACGTCATTTTAAATAAATAGGAATATAGGAGTGTGAAGTGAGCTGGTACATTATTTAAGTAGTTTTTCTTGGGCCCTACATCACACTCAATTAAGTATTTTGACCACTACTTTTACTAAAACGTACATGCTTGTTACTATGGAATAACTCTAGCACATATTTTGGCTGTTCTACCATAACTCCATCACTGGCCATACCTGAGAGGGAGACAGGGTTGTATCATCCTCTTCCTCATCCTCCAGCCCCTCCTCCTCTTTGGAGGTTTTAAGTTTTGTGGAAGTGGTGTCTTGAGTGGTGCTTGTATTCTCTCCCTCCCTGACCTCCTCCTCCTCCTGGCTGGGAGCTCTGTGTTGGGCTGAGGGGAGACTGTGGAGGAGGTGGTGGATCCGAATGTAGTGAGATCTAGGTGTCTCAGGCTCTCCGCAGGCCGATGCGATCACCGTCTCCAACTCTGACACTGGAAGGGAGCAGGGGCGATTTTTGCGGCGCAAAGGAGCATTAGAGTTATAGTTTGAGAAGAGGGATTCACAGGTGCAGGGGAGGCAGCTTATTTCTCCGCCCTCTGTCACCTCCTGAGCAGCCCTTTGTTCTACATCGGCCTTTTGGGAAGTGATGCTTCCCTCCATGGGGTCCTCAATAGTAACAGCCCCATTGTTTGTTGATATTTCAACAGTATTTTCAGAGTCTGGCTTTGGCTGTATTTCCTCCCCAACATAATTTTCTTCTCCAGTCGTATCCTCCTGAGCTTGTGGTGCAGACGCTTCTCTCTGCTCCCCCTCTTCTTCTTCTTGTTGCCTCTCCTCCCTTTCTCCATCCTCTCCACTGTTCCCTTCTTGCTGTTCAGGCAGTTCCCCCTCCTCCTTCTCCACTTGTGGCTCTGTAGACAGGGGCTCCTCCCTCACTGTGCTCTCTTCATCCACAGTTTCTTGCTCTTCTGGCATTGACTCAGCCTCCTCATCCTCAGCACGGACCTCCTCAGGTGTGGAGGCTTCCGCTGTGGATGCTGTTACCACCATCATTTCAGGGTCAGGTGGGGCATCCAGGGGGAGATCAGGCATGTCAGGTCCCACACTTAATGTGTCATCATCAGGAGCATCAGCAGCATGGTTGTCATTTGGTGTATTTCCCCCCTGAGGACAGGCTGACTCTATGACCAGAGAGATCTCCTCATCATCTAAGGAAAATCGAGATGTTGGTTGTGTTGAGCATATTTTTGACATTTCTACCGTAAACAAGTCTGGGTCTTGACTAAACTCAGTTCTTCTTTTGCAAGTGGTGCAAATTAAAGTTTTGTGAGTTTAGAAGGCCGATTTACACTCTCGAGACCTTTAAATAGCTTTTGATACTTCTACATTCCACAAGAATAGCATCAACCAAAACAAACTGAAGATTCACTACAGAGAGAAGTGTGACTTTGCAAGAGAAAGACAGTTGACTTGAAAGCTAAACACTCAAGCGGAGCAGAATTTATAATTTTTCACTGCTACATGGCATTATGACTTACGTACCTGGGTGAATAGAAGAAGTCAACTCAAAGCGGAACTGCAGCTGGCCGCAGACATGGTCTGTTGGCAACCTGCGACCCAGCGAATAACTCACTACTCGATCCCTGCAAGAAATAAGACAGAAAAGAACAGAGAAAAAGAGATATGCAGGATTAATGTAAGATTGCTGGAAGAGACAGGAAAAAATAACAGATTTTGTTAAAAAAATACATAGCTACAGATGTAGCTAACTAATGTAAATATCCCAGCACTTGCCAGCTGGCGGTCAGTTGACAGCTGGAAGCCTAACTAATCCTAATGGCTGTTTATTTATTTTTAGGCCTTGGTTCACACACAGTATTTTCCCTGGACTAACAGTAGTTGTTACTTCAGTCATGTTTGCAACGCATCAGTTGTGTTTGTCGAATAGCATTTAATTACATATTTTGAATCCATTATTTTCAGCGGAGAAAAACATTGTTACAACATACAATTTTACTCTTGAATATAATTATTTCTTTAGTCGTTTTGTGAATGTCATTTTTACACTGTGCTATTGATAATGAATCAAATCAAATGGGTAAGGGTAAGGGTTAAGCAGTGTATAAAGTAACTAAAAAGTAAGCGTAATCTTAGCTGCATTCATAAAGCCATGAACACAAGAATTAATGGATAATTGTAATTAAATATGATATAGCCTTTAATTATTTAAAAGAAGGACTTTCTCCACAATTGAAACGTTTGAAAGTATGATCATCACTTTAGCAATATTTTGTTGTACAGTAGTTTGCTACTTTTAGCTTTTGAAGGGACATAAAACCTTGACTATTCACCAGCTTCTCACTCACAGGGGAAGGACCTACCAGGCCTCCTTATTTTGTATAGCACGTCACCACTGCATTGAATCAAAATAAGACCCATCAAGACAGTGGCGAGCCGTCAGGGCCCTCTAGGCCCTCTGTGAGGGCCTAAGATATTATAAAAAATAATATTTGAAAACATTAAAAAAAAAACATTTTGTTTTAAATATTATTTTTTATATATTTTTTGTTACATTTTTCATTAGTTTTACCAAAATAACTTGATTTAATTGTATTTAAAATAACATTTCCAAAGAAATAAATTCTTCGAATCTGCCTGTTCAGTTTCTGTTGGAATGTGAAGGGTTAAATGCCGTCTCTGCGAGTTACTGTGAAGACGGGAGAGCTTGTTGTCACAGAGGGCCAGCTATAGTAACTCAATGTAATGTCAAAGTAATGTCAAATGACAGTACAATTGACCAATCATATCTTCCCTCTAAATGGGTGGGCTTGATTTTCGCGGAATTTATGACAAGTTCCGCCCGCTGTGAGGTTTATGCAGTGGTGGGTTCCTAAAACCCGGAAGTAAGCAATGGGATTTCTCATGGATGTAATAGCTCGAAATAAGGTCTGTGGAAAACGAACCTGTTAGATAAATGCACGTTTTGTTCAGCCGGATAATATCCACACGTCTACCCTACTTTTATTATTTTCGAATCATAAATCAAATCGATAGATTTATGATCGATAGATTTATGATTAGCATAAGTTCGTTCATGATGGCTCATTTCAGTGATAGTGATGACATCGTTGCGAAATTATTAACCGAGTCATTTTCAAGATTGAGTTACAATGATAAACTGGAGTGGCAAAGGATCAGCTGCATGACCCCGCCATCAAGTGCTTCATCCAAAAGGACAGGAGGATGGACTTTGTGTTTAAGTGATTTGATCATCAAAGGTAGGCCTAAGTCATTTTCAATGTGGGCCGCCGTGCCGACGTAATTCATTTGTAATTGTTACTTGGCTGTGGGTGCCCTGTCATGATAGGTGTTTATATAAATGGTGTTGTTTTGTGTGGTAGAGGGTCGCTGTCATTGATGCGTTTTGATATTCCGCTGAAGTATACTGAGACGTAATAACTCTTCTTTTTTTTCGAGGGAAGGGGGGCAGGCCCGGCTCCAGGATGAAATGACTGAGGGGGCTGTTAAAAATTCCGAGGGGGCGATTTTTTTTTTCACAACAACGAAAAATACTGGCAATGTAATGAATTGACACACCAAGCTTTTTTCCTTCTCACTGCTCTACAATCTCTTTGCTTCTTTATTTTTATTCCGGATTTACCCCTCTCGTTCTGTTCTTTTCCTCTGATCTTTAATAATAGATAGTAGATAGTTGATAGATAGATGGCTGCACTTTGGTTAACAGACTAACATTGATTTCCTCAATTTATAAATTGACAGGCTCTGTAATTATACCATAACCTTTTCTCCTCTATCACTTAAAGGTGGGGTAGGTAAGTTTGAGAAACCGGCTCGAGATACACTTTTTGTTATATTCCATGGAATGCTCTTAACATCCCGATAGCAATGAATATCTTAAGTGCTTTGACAACAAATCCATAAAAAAACGTCATCTGTGGAAGCCGTAGTACTGTAAAAAGCACGACCAATCATTTTAGCCGGCCCGGCTAAAATAACTGGATGGCCTACCTGCCTGTCAGCCTTCCATCTGTGCACAAACTTATCTCGTGCCCTCATTGGTCATGTGCACGTTCGTGTGTGTTGGAGGAGGGGCTCTGTAAGGAAGTGGCAGATTTTTTCCGGCTGTGTATTTTCAAATACTAGGGCACTCGAGCTGGTTTCTCCAAAATTACCTACCCCACCTTTAACTGCTCTTCCTATACAGATTTACTTACTTACTGGTCATGTCAGGATTAAAGAACAATTATTTTCAGGATTGAATGTTCAAACCAAGGCCTAAAACCTGGCATTTCATAAGAAAGTGACTAATATATAAACCAAATGTAATATTGGATAAAATACTACACCAAATGGACAGACACAGATTAAAAATACAAATATAGTCCCCTGGTTTGTCTCTAGAGTCTAACTGCCATGAGAAAAATCTAATCAATGTTCCACAATCCGCCACTAGATGTCGCTCATTGTACCAATACGGTTTATATAATACACAACATATTATTATTATTATTATTATAGTAAAAGGGCTCGCTTTGGCAAAAACCTGATCCATACAGGCAGTCCTAAATAATAACAAGTAACCATCATGTGTGGTGCTATGTAATTGTAGTAGTTGTCTGTCTTATTTTTTGTTGATTTCATATTGTTTTCACAGAGCTGTGGACATGAATTTCCCCCTGGGGACAATAAATCTAAACTCATTTAAAATTCAATCCCACACATGCTCTATGTTTTTTAACGCACATTCAAAAACGGGAACATTTTCGGGAGTTTCAACCGGCTACCGGCCACCAAAAACGGGGACTTTGCCCGGAAAACGGGGACGTTTTGGTCACCCATCCGACTGTGTTTACAGCTAAGCACACACGCTAACATTAATTAAGACATATCTGATCTAAACATATTAACGTGTATTGGGGAAGATAATTATTTAAAGTTATTATTTAATAATTGTGACATTTATTTTACTTTTTGATGGATGAATGATGCTCAAGGTGAGGGGGCAAAGAATACAGCTGAGGGGGCAATGCCCCCTTTTGCCCCCTCGTGGCGCCGGGCCCGAAGGGGGGGGGGGGTCAGAGGGCCTAGGTATAAAAGTCACGGCTCGCCACTGCATCAAGAAAACTTAAATTCACAATGTTGTCAAGAAAACTTAAATTCACAATGTTGTCAAAAAAAGGCGAATTTCAAGCTCTCGTCCACTAGCTGTGACATCACGCACTCTAAGCCTTAACGAGCTATGCAATACACACTAATGTTAAAATCTGAAAAAGGCCTCTTTGCCAAGCTCCAAACTAAGTTAAATATCTCAATAAGTGTAAAAGATATCAAAAATCTGAAGAATAATTTTTATAGCTGAAGGTCTTGTGACCGTTTTAAAGTTGGAATGAAGTCTCTATCTGAAAGTATGTGGAAGGAGTAGCATTTGGCGCACGGTGTAGGTAAAAGAGGATTTGAAGGTTCCTCCCATTGAGTTACATGTTAAATGCTGTTGCACAGCATTCACACTAATTATAGCCCTGATCACCTTAAGAGAGGTACAATTTATCATTGCATAACATTTTGGAATGAAATCTATTTGTGATAGTAATAGTAATTATATTACAAACACTTTCACTTGACATTTTTTTTATACAATGAGGGAAGGTAACTAAATATATTTACTCAGGACCTGTAGTTAAGTAATGAAATTGAGGTACTTGTACTTTACTTGAGTATGTTCACATGCTTCTTCAAGTAAAATAACAATACAGTAAATACAAATACAGTTTTTAATATTTAAAAAAACTGTATTAGTTTAAAAAAACTGTATTAGTTATATATTTGTTTTATTCATCAACACTAATAAGAGTAATATTTAGACTGATGACAAGCAAAGTCCTGCCACACATACAGTATTAATTGCATAACTGTATATGGTGTGTGAGTGTTTTACCCAATAGCATGTTTTTCCAGCAGCCTCTGGACAGGGACAGAGAGCTTTCCAAGAAAACGCTTGATGATTGGCCGACTCTTGGCAAATTTATCCTTCACTTCGATCTCCAGTACATCAGTGGGCAGAGACACAAAGTTGAACCGCTGAAGAAACAGACAGAGAGGGTAGAGTCATAAAGATATGACCAATCAGGGTCATTGGATTAGTATATTTTTCTATGCACTAGAGTTAGAAAATCACATCGGTTGGCCAGTACACTGAAAGCAGTCAATAGAGAAAATTATGCCCCAAACTTATTTGCAGTAATGCATATCTTTTGTATAAATGGACCCTGTTTTTGTTTTCTCCCAATATGATGATTTATTTTCCCGCAGAAATATTTGTATTAGATTTTTTTGAAGACAACAACAAACATCAACACATTACACATGTACCCCTTCCCCTTCCCCAGTCCCAAACAGACCTGAACAATATGTGCAATAGGGATGTGCATCTCCATCACTGAGGCCGATACGATGCGCATCTCGATACGCTACCAACGATACGATACATTAACGATACATTTGAAACACCAGGCAATGCGATACGATACGATTCACCCCTGTTGCGATACAGTTCGATACGATTTGATTCAACATTATGCGATACGATGTGATTCAACACGATGCAAAATAATGATACAATTCAATATGGTACGACAGAGGATTTTGTTTTATTCCTTATATGCAGCAAATCATACATTAACAAAAAAGTGCTTCACATATTTGCTTCTCTCTACTAGTACTGCACATCCCATCATGCTGTTTATTTTTTACCTTAAAAAAAACAAACACTTGGACCTTTCACAAACTGGCCTTTTCACAAGTGTAGTAGTGTTCTCTGTCTCCAGAGTACAGTTCAATTTTATAACACCTCACAGTTAAACAATTTAAGGATGCATTGCCCAGGATTTAACCATGAGATGGCGCTTCATTCAAAAATACACAAAGACAACTGGGTGTTGTGGGCCTTAGTCTGTTTGCAATGTTTGCAGTTGTGTTTGCTGAAGAGCATTTAATCACTTATTTGTTATGGTTTTCACAGGCTTGTTATAGCAGAATGTTTAATACAGCGTATTTCAGATATTCATTAAAGATCACATGGTATTCCATATGATGTGTGTTACTGAGTTGGGTCACACACAGTTAGAGAGACAATGGTCGTTCTGATTTATCAATAGATGTATTCATTTTAAGTGAGCTGACACCGAGGTTAGAGGAAGTTCAGAGAAGGCCTTAGGTTATAAGAACAGTTAACCTTTGTTAGTTTACTACTCCTAAAGATGTCATGAGACGATGACGTTTAAACATATACAAGTATAGCTTTCAGAGAGAAAAACGTGTGACATTTGTGTGGTAGGCTGCATGATAAAATGTGTGTGCGTTAAACATGTTCAGGGAAAATGTGTGTGTGTTTATTACAGTGGCTATATATGCTGTACAGTGTTTCCCCTAGGTTTACTGCCTTGGCAGGGTGCTGCTCGGGTACCCCCCCCAACGGTGCCTGGAAAAAAGAATTTGAATTTTTTTTTAATCCTCTGGAGCAGAGAGGAGCTGTGGATTATTGTTATTATTATCGTACAGTAACAAAGTATTTGTACATTAAAAAGTAATAAAGTACAGTGTTACACTGTACTGTATTACTTTTATTCAAACTGTATTCCCTTCTTATCATGTAGCCTACACTTCTTCCTTTCATTGATGCATATAAATCACCTGACTACAGCATATAACATACCTGCTGCAACCCTGTGCTGCTGCTGCTTCTCTCTGCCTCATCCTCTATTGCTGGAGGCAGCTCCACCTCATCTGATCTCTGATATGAAAGCAATCGTGTTATGATCATATTGAGCTATTGGTGTGAGTCTAACATTAAACAAGCAGTCTGCTTGTCATACATTGCTGACGATACATTTTAAGAGGCAATTTGTTGAGTCACTGCCGCTAAATGCCGGTAGCATCAAGCTAGCAAATCCTGCATTAGCCTCACATCAACAGGTGTAGACAGAACATCCTGAGATAATTTACTGAATAAACCAACTCACATCTCCTGTCTTTTTTTTCACCCAACTCATTAGACTAATCTTCTGCTGGCGTTTCATTGTTGTTTTCTGTCAAATTCAATACTGTAGTTCAAAACCGCGGTACCTGCTCACCATCTGTGAGCTATTTTTAGAATGCGCACGCTACGTTCATTGTGGCGTTCGCGCGCGTCCACCTGGGCAGGCTGTGTGTCCTCCGTGACGATAGCGGCTTGAGGTTAAACAATAATAATAAACGAATTTGAAACTGGGGGGGGGACACAAACGGGCAGACAGCAGAGCTTGGGGCAATAATGCAGATTTGTTTGACTTTTTTACACTTTGTTGTTCTCCTCCTTTCCTCCGCTCTTGTCTCTGATTGTGTGTGTGTGTGTGTGTGTGTGTGTGTGTGTGTGTGTGTGTGTGGGAGCGGAGCAGAGCCCCGCCCTTCAGAAACAGAGTGGAGGGAGAATGTGAATACGCAAAGCAGTGGACACTGAAACATGCACATACATTGGATAAATAACATAGGCGTTTAGTTTATTTAATAAAAGAGCACATGTTCAATGTGAAAAGTGACCATAGATAGATTACTTCAGTTGCAATTTGGTGCTATATATTTTTTTTAGGGCTGTCAAGTTAGCGCGTTAATAACGCGTTAACGCAAAAAAAAATTAACGCCACTAATTATTTTAACGCGATTAACGCATGTGTATTTTTTGTCCTCGGCCGCCGTAGTTTCAGAGCGCATCGAGTGTAAAATACCATCTACAAGCTGATGCTGTCAGCCTCGCTCCTGCCGCCCGCTTGTGGCAGACCACACTTCCACGCTCACTGGCAGGCCCGGACTGGCCATCAGGAGGACCGGGAGGGAGTGTGTATGTGTGGCGCGACTCGCGCGAGCGAGGCACACCTTACGTGTTGATGTTGTTGTTAGCATCTGGTGCTAGCTAGCTGCGCTAACGGATATAAGGAGCTGTTTCAATGACATTTCGCCGACAACTGCGCCGAGCACTTGACTTGATGCAGGTAGCCAGACAGTGGGACATTGTACGAAAAGTCAGCACACTCAGCACGGATAGTACGCGCAACATGATTGCAGCGTCCAGGCAGCTCCCATTCGAGCATATATGCCTTGAGCTGCACATAGCTCCAACGATCCATCACAGTGTCCACACACACACACACACACACACACACACACACACACACACACACACACACACACACACACACACACACACACACACACACACACACACACACACACACACACACACACACACACACACACACACACACACACACACACACACACACACACTGTATTATTGTATGAGAGAGGTTCCAGGTTGATTTGAGGCGAATATTTGTAATGTTCAGAGGTTGTTGTGTTTAATATTCATGAGAATATTTGTCATTATTCAAATGATAATAAACAAACATATAAAGCATATTTGTCCACTCATATGTTGATAAGAGTATTAAAAACTTGAAAAATATCCCTCTAAGGTACATTTAGAACAGATAAAAAATGTGCGATTAATTTGCGATTAATCGCGATTAACTATGGACAATCATGCGATTAATCGCGATTAAATATGTTAATCGACTGACAGCCCTAATTTTTTTTCTTTTAATTAAAAAAAATAAAAAAACACCTTGAATTTCAGGCGGGGCGCGGGGCTCCGTTTGCAGGGCGCAGCGCACCGCCAAGACAATGGTAGGGGAAACACTGCTGTATGATTGTTGCTACTGATGGGGGGTATTTCCGCGATTGGCTGCTGTGGCAGCAGGTGATGTACTTCCCATTATTGTTTGTTTGTTGCAACAACTAAATAATAATTACTGATCAGCTATATCTGTGTTTGTGTTTTATTGATTCCTCTCTGTTTCATTCTTTCCTGTTGTGTTATGCTGGATCGCCACAACAGGCTACTATAACGAAAAAAATATAATATTTTAGATCAAATAAAGTATATCTAATCTTATTATCTTAATTGTAATTCAATAATATATAGTCTTTATATATTACATAATCATAATAATAATGTAAATGTTTACACTTATTTATTTTTCATGCTCATACTTTTACCTTTACAATAGTTTGCTTTAATGTGCAGTATATTTTTTGTAATATTGTTGTGGTGTACAGTAGATACATTATCACGTATTATACAGTAATGTGTTGTATTATTAAGTAATATCATACATTAACCTCATTATAGCAGATGCCACATTGAATGGATGAACACATTTATGCATCAATAATTACAACGGAGTATTTCTAAATATAAGTTGTACAAATTATATGTATTTAATACTAATAACATAATGATTAATTTTACTTTCAGATGATAATACTTTTCACTTGGGCTATTGACAATTTTGAATGCAGGACATTTGCTTCTAACACATCTTTTTACCTAGGTAAATAATCGGAATACTTCTTCCACCTCTGATTTTAACCTGTCACTGTTTTTAAAACTTTAATTAAATGTTTGATATTTCCAGAGACCCTTTCAGACCAGCAATGCTGCCCTGCATGTAATTCCGATAGTCCATCGGAATGTGACAAAAGTCAGAAGTTTCCCATCCCCCTTGGGAGACTTTCTCCACACATTCCAATGGGCAATTCGTTTTAAACAAAGAGTCCGCAACAAAGGCTACTACAGTATCTCTTGTTAACAGAGGGGGGATGGTAGAGCTTTGTCACACCGTTTCAGGGTTAACCTGTTAAGCCCTGAGCCTGTTTTTCAGGTCTCAGGCTCGAAAATGACATTCCCAGAACAAATGACCATATCCCCCCCTCAGCAACCTCCGATTCTGGGGGTCCCCAGAGAATCTGCGGAGGGGAGCTCCACTGGGGCAGGTAACCTCCTATATCACAGTCTTCACAGACGCTTCAGTGACAGGATGGGGGGGGGACGTGCCTAGAGAGAGCTGTGGGTGGTTGCTGGCCTCTGACAGAGGCGCGGCACAGCAACCTCCTGGAGCTGCAAGCAGTGATGCTGGTCCTACAGCACTTCAAACCCTTAATACAGGGCAAACATGTGCTAGTGAGGAGCGACAACCGCACCACAG